TGCAGCCATGCGGTGGTTCCCAATCGCATCCCTTGGGGAATGCTGAAGGCTCCCCATGTGCCCCGTGCACCCAGAGCTTCCCCAGGTCAATTCTCTCCTCACCACTGCTGCTGCAGTGTCCGCAGAAGGAAGGAAGGACCACACAGAGGCCCGTCATAATCTTTCTTAGAGTGGGTTAAGATTGTCTCGCTGCCAGATTGGTCAGGATGAAATTATTACTGATCTCATCCACAGGGATATGAGGACCTCCATCCTGCCTTTTTACTCCCCAGAAATACATCTCCTGTGCCTGTCCTTTGACCTTGCTTCTTTCAAAGGCCAGTCCACCTTTCAGACTAGCTCCATGGGCTGCCCCTCACAGCTGAAGTGCTGGCCTGTGCGCACAAGCAGGGAGAGAGGTTTTCTTGCAAATTTCACAGGCAAGAAGATGCTCTCTTTGGATACACCGCTGCTGTATCCAAACCCGGGCAATACGTTGCTGACAAGCTGTTAGATCTGGACAACATGATCACATGGTCTGTATACGCAGGGCACTATCTAGAGCTTGGAGACCTCACTGTCATCGAGGTCACGGTAGATGACTTCCAGCACCATTCATTCTCTCAGGTTCTGGAAGCCTTCTTAAGCAGCAGTCAACCTTTCTTGCTAAAGCCTCACATCTCCCTCAAACAGATAACTTGCCCTCACACTTGTCAGGAGATGCTTCCAGAGACTGCAATTCATTGTGTTTTTTCCAGTCCCAGTGTCAAAGGATCGCAGCTGTTGGGCTTCCTTACCTTCCAATTCCTGACTGTTGGCCCCACTCTCCCAGCAGCGGAGTTGCCAGGCAGTACTCCTCTCCCCTGGCTAGTGCCTCTCATCTTTCCACAAGTCTCAAAGCTCTCTCAAAGTCAGGAAGCCCGTACTTTCCTTCTCTGGAGCGATTTCTCTCCCTTCTTCCTGCCATTAGCCACGGTTCTCTGAGAGCGCTCAACAGTGGCTCAACAGACACGGGTCAAACCCCAATACAGGGCGAAAAGCAGCTGGTTTTCCAGCAGCTTGCACCCAGGATCCGGCCAGCTCAGGACAGGTTTCACTGTCGCCTCAACTAAAAGTTGTCGCTTCTTACACCAGCACAGCAGCAGATTCCACAAACACTGCGCTTAGCCAGCAGTGTGACTTGGTAGTTTTAAACACCTCCCGTAAGGGTGAGAAATACCTTGGGAGCCTGTGCAACAAAGCATCCCATGTCAGTCTCCAGTCTCAGTGCAAAGCACCTGGCCTTTGGTTCTCTTAACATGTTCCAAGCTCAGCAAAAATATGGGGTTATTGTTGCAGTGGATATTGTACCAACAGCTAGGTCCACAGTTGTTGTGGTCTTCCAGCTTGTGCAGTGATGCTTTTACAACTGGTTTTTTCCTTCCACAGAGCATTCAAGGATATCTCACGCACACTCTCTGTCTCCAAGTCCAGGAATCTGAGCCCCTCCCCCTCACTGCTGCATCTATCCCCAATGGGCAGAGGGACAAAAAGGCAGACCTGGGTCCATAGGATCTCTGTGCCTGGTAAGATCATGGAGTAGATCCTCCTGGAAAATATGCTAGCACACATGGAAAATAAGGATGTGATTGGTGACAGCCAATATGGCTTCACTAAGGGCAAGTCATACCTGACAAATTTGGCAGCCTTCTATGACAGGGTTACAGCACTGGTGAATAAGGGAGCAGCAACTGTTGTCATTTACATGGACTTGTGCATAGCTTTTGATGCTCTTCCACACAACATCCTTGTCTCTAAATCAGAGAGACATGGGTTTGATGGATGGACCACTTGGTGGATAAGGTATTGACTGCATGGTTACATTCAGATAGTTGTGATCAACAGTTCAATGCCCAAGTGGAGAGCAGTGACAAGCAGCTTTCCTCAGCGTTTAGTGTTGGGACTGACGCTGGTTAACATCTTTGTTGGAGACATGGACAGTGGGACTGAGTGCACCCTCAGCAAGTTCATCAATGATGATGAGCTGCACAGTGCAGTCAACACGCTAGAGGGAAGGGATGTGCCACCCAGAGGGACCTGGACAGGTTGGAGAGGTGGGCCCATGCAAACCTCATGAAAATCAAGTGCAAGGTCCTGCACATGGGTGCGGCAATCCCATGCTCAAACACAGGCTGGGCAATGAGTGGATTGAGAGCAGCCCTGGGAGAAGGACTTGCAAGTGGTAGTGGATGGAAAACTGACTGAGTCGGTAATGTGAGCTGGCAGCCCAGAAAGTCAACTGTGCTCAAGTGTGACCAGCAGGTCGATGGAGGGGATTCAACACCTCTGTTCCACTTTTGTGAGACCCATGCTGCAGTTTTGGATCCAGCTCTGGGACCCCTAGTATTGGAAGGACATGAACCTGCTCAAGCGGGGCCAGAGGAGGCCACGAAGATGCTTGAGGGGCTGGAGGACCTCCCTGTAAGGACAGGCTGAGAGAGTTGGGGGTTCAGCTGGAGAAGAGAAGGGTCCGGGGAGACCTTCGAGTGGCCTCCCAGGGCTGAAAGGGGCTGCAGGAAAGGGGGGAGGAACTCTTAGTTGGGGGGTGTAGGGATAGGATGAGGGGTAATGATTTTAAACTTACAGAGGGGAGACTTAGATGGGACGTAAGGAAGAAATTCTTCCCTGTGAGGGGGGTGAGGCCCTGGCACAGGCTGCCCAGAGAAGCTGTGGCTGCCCCCTCCCTGGCAGGGTTCAAGGCCAGGTTGGACGGGGCTTTGGGCAACCTGGGCTAGTGGAAGGTGTCCCTGCCCGGGGCAGGGGGTGGGACTGGATGGGCTTTAAGGTCCCTTCCAACCCCTTGCTCCAAGCTCAGTCAGCCATGAGCATCCAAGGAGGATTACTGCACAACCTCTCCAGGAAACCTGTTCCACTGCTTCACTCTTCTCTTGGTGAAAACCATTTCTCACCTATCAAGTCCAAAACTCTCATCTTTCAACATGAGCTCAATGCTTCTAGTCCTTCAATCATGTACTGCCACAGTGTTGAGTCTGGATCTGTCTTCTAGAGACCTCACCATAGCTACTCCTAAGTCTCCCACCAGAGCCTTTTCTTCACACTCAGCAAGCCCTGTGCCCTCAGCATCTCCTCCCCAACCAAGTGGTCCAGCTCCTCACTATCCTGGACACTCTCCATTGAACTGACGCCACTAAGTCAAGGACGTTCTTGCATTACATTTTTCTTGTATTAGAGCGGTGTTCTAGATGCCATCAGGTGAGTACTAAGCATTACCCTCTATCTCCTCACTCAGATCCTGCTCTGGTAGCCCAGGATGTTGATGACAGTCCTCAACATCTGGGAACAGTGGTGGGACTCCCACCTCTTTTGCTGGGCTTCATGCAAAAACAACTTGCCCTGGACCTGCTTTTGGGCTGTGGCTTGTCAGGGGCTGAAGGATGTGTGAGGAGGCAGGGCTGGATGCTACCAAGCCAGCTGCCACTCAGGGCTCTGGGCAGACATGTGTCATCTTGCCCAGCTGTGTCCTGCAGCAGTTCAGCAGCTCCCCTTCCTCAGATGCAAATCTCACTGCACACTTTGCTGCTGCTCACCGCACTGCTTTGGAGAGCTCCTGCACATCCCTGAGACACTCAGCCTGCACCTGCTGCCTCTCTTGCTGCCCTGAGTCTCTCCCTGACTCCCTGAGCACAGACAGGGAAGGAGCAGGACAAGGAGGACATTCACTGCCGGGGGGCCTGTGTGGTGTGCTGACCCTGGCAAGTACTAAGCACCCAACAGCTGTTCTCTCCATACCCTGTCCTATTGGGATGAGGGGAGAGCTGAAAGAGCAGGAGAGCAAAATGCTCTTGGGTCAAGATCAGGACAGGCTAAGAGATGGAGGGAAAGAAGAGAAAAACAAGTGCTGCAAAGACACGCACCACCTCACACCAGTAAATTCCCAAGCATTCTCCAAAGAACAGCTACTTTGGAAAGACTGATACAGTCTTTCAGATAACAATCATTGTGTTGACAACCACTGCACAACCATCCCACCTAAACACCCCTGAGACACACCTCTCTCCCTGGGCGGGGAAAGGATGAGACAGAGGCCTGCGCTGGGATGCAGCAGAACTTTAATGAGCCAAAAGAGGAAATGAGGTCACTCGGAGTTGAAGGCCTGTTGCAGGGAGCACCGGGGGCAGAGAGCAGTCTGCGCCCCGTGGCTGTGGCAGAGATGCAGGCGCGTGTCCACCTGCCTGCCCCACAGAGGGAGCAGGGCCAGCAGGTCCTCCCCAGGCTGGCTCTGTGGGGCTCACAGCCCAGGACAAGCAGCACACGCGAGGGAAAGGAGAGAGTGGGAGAGGGGAAAGGCAGGCATGGGCTGTGCTGGCTGAGAGCCCAGGCTGGCCACATCCTTTTGCAAAGGGTGCTGGGATTGCTCAGCCCCTCTGAAAGCAAGAGCGCAGTGCTCCGTCCCAGCGTGTGTGTCCCTGGGGGCCTTCCCCAGGGCTGTCACCAGCAGCTTTAGCAGGGGAGGCACCTCCTGCCGCAGAGGCGGCTGCCCAAGCCGGAGAGGCCAAAGCCCCCGGAGGAGATGGGCACTCCCTCAGAGCTGAGGATGCTGCCAACGGCAGCGGAGGTGGAGGAGCCCACGGCGGTGCTCTGTGGGAAGGAGCTGAGGATGGGGCCGGGCAGGGTCACCACCACGGGGGAGGGCTGGATGACGACGGTGGAGTCCTGGCACTGCCTGACACAGGGCTCATTGCAGCTGTTGGCCAGCGGGGTCGGGCCGCAGGGCTGGCAGGGCAGGCAGGGCATGCACGGGATGTTGCAGGACATGTCTC